TTACGGGAAATAGAACAGAGCGGAAAGGAATTTTCAACCATATTTCGGTGACTTTTTTTTCCCTCGGCTAGACAAGGTATCATCCGGACTGTCTGGTTATTTCCTCTCGCCTCTCCCTTCCCGTGTTCCTACCCCCCACTCCCCACTCTGCTTTCCCTCCCTGCTCTCCTCGTTCGGCATCCCTCATTGCCCCGTCTAACCCACGCCATCTTCATCCCCCCCTCTCCTCTTTTCACCTCCTCCCCATTCCCCTCCCGCTCCACCCCACTGCCCAACGGACCCCCTTCTCCTCTCCTCCTCGCCGCCCTCACTCCCCTGCCACCCTTATCCCTTCTCTCCTATCGACCACACTTCTCTATCAAAACCCCGGTAGCGTCACATCGACCCTTCCCGTCGCCCTCACATCCCCTTTCCCTCTCCTCCTCCCATCTCTCCCCATCCTCCCGCCGCCCCTCCCTCCGTTGGCGCCTGCGTAGGGATCGTCTTTCATTAATCTAAATTTACTCCTCGACTTCAAGGGCCGGGATATTAAATCACCGCCCGCAAGGTAATCAGTATCAATAATGAAAGGTGTAAGCCGCGACGACTCTCTATATCTCTTCTCTTTATCTTTATTTTTTTTCTCTCTCTCATTTCCTTTTTTTTTTATTTCTACTTATTTCTTCGACTCCTCCGTTTCTTTTTTGCTTCCTGTCCTCCCTTCTCTTCCTCTTCCTCTATCCTCCTCTGTCTCCTATGCCTCTTCCTTTCTCCTCCTGTTCCTTCTCCTCCTACCCTCTTTTTATTCTTCTCCTCCCTCCCTTTCCTTCTTCCTTCTCCTCCTCCTCTTTCTCTTCTCTTCTTCCTCTTCCTCTTGCCTCCAACCATCCCCACTACCTCCTCTTCTTGCTCTTCGCTCTTTTTCCCTCTCAACCTCCACAATCCCAACTACATCCACCATCCTCAACTCCCACCCCCCACTCCTACCATCTCCCCTAACCTCCTCACTCCACAGCCTACATCGGTTGAGGTTTGACACTAATTACGGTCAGTTTTTAGTGGACGTCATAAAAAAAAAAAAAAAAAAAAAAAAAAACAAAAGACGGTAGTGATGCGTCGGCCCTCCCTTGCCTCCTCCTCCTCCTCCTTCCTTCCTCCTCCTCCTCGACCCTCGTAAACCCGGGAGACTGACAAAGACTCCCCTGGAAAGACAAATGAGAAGCAAATTACTGCGGTTTTACAAGACACAGGGGAGACAAGGGGTGGCGTGGAAGGGGGGGGGCGTGGGGGTAGGGGGAGAGAGACAAGGGTGGGCGCGGGTTGGTTGAGGAAGGCTCGTGGTGGGTGGTGGGTGGGTGAGTGGATGAGTTAGGGAAGGTTGGTGAGGCGTGGGCGTGGAAGGGGTGGGGTGGGTGGGTGAGAGAGAGGGGAGTGGGTGCGGGTGGGTTAAGGCAGGCTTGTGGGTGGGTGGGTTGGTGGGTTTTTTGTAGGCTGGTTGCGAGAAGGGAAAAGAGGGGGCGGGGAGAAGAGTTTTTATGTTTTGTGTTTGTTTGTTGTAGTTGTTATGGTGGTCATTATTGCCGTTGTATTGTGATTATTTTTTTCAGTTGCTGTTGTTGTTATTTGTGTAGTTGTTACTATTGTTGTTATGATGGTTGATAGCGTTATTGTTATTGTTATTTAATATGATTAATTTCATATATTCATCTAATAAACTAAAGAAAAGAAAGGTAAAGATAAAGACCAATAAAAACGACCTTAATAACGAGGAAGATGATTCGCGCGTTGATGGCGATGTCGGTGAATAAAGACGATGGCGATAAAACCTCAAATAAGAAGTTGCTATAAAGTCGCGATGGTTCCTCGCCCACGAAAGCGTCGACCATTCGCGATCACGGATTTAAATGAGCGCCGGTCCATCGCGCCCTCACCCCCACCCCCTTCATCCCCCCTTTATCCCCACTCCTTTCACCCCTCCCCCTTTACCACGCCTCACCCCTTTCACCCCTTCACTCTTTTCATCCCTCTTCACCCCCCCTCCATCCCCCTTCCCCCCCTCCTCCCCTCACCCACCCCCTCTTCCCCTTCACCTCCCTCCTCCTCCCCTTATCCCTCCTTTCATCCTCCACCCCCTCCCCTTCATCCCTTCTTCACCCCCCTTCACCCTTCCCCATCTTCTTTTTTACGGCGCCTCCCGCTAGGATCCCCCCGGCCAGGACTTGCGGGGGGGAGGGGTGAGTCATCCCGAAGGATCCCCCAATACGGACAGAGGTGGACGAAGGAGGCTGGCGAGGAGTGGGGGCGTCTCTTCGGCCTTCGTCACTCTCTCTGTTTATTTGTTTATTTTTTTGTTATTTGTTATTATTTGTTTTTTTATTATTTTTTATTGTTTTTTTGTTTTTGTTATTTATTTATTCGTATTTTATATTATTAGAGTAGAAAGAGTAAGAGAAAGAGGGAGAGAGGAGTGGAAGGAATAAGAGGAAGAGGAAGGCAGGAAAGAGAAAGGGGAGTGAATGTAAACCGGGAGAGAGAGAGATATGCGGAGAGGGCAAAAAGAAATATCGACAGAAAGTTTCCAAACAAAAGAAAACGGAAGATAAGCCCCAACTTCCCCAGAGACAAAGAACGGAAGGAAAAGGAGAATAGAAAACGACGAAGAAAGCAGGAAGGATGAAACAAAGGGAAAAAAAAGGAAAATAAAAAAGGAGAGAGAATTTCGGAAGAGTGATCACAGGAATACGATAAATGTATAATGAGAGGAAGGGAGAGATAAGGAAAAGGAGCAAGTCCGTGATAAAGACGGTAAAAGAGGAAATAACCAAGGAGAAAATGAGAGAGAGAGAGAGAGAGAGAGAGAGAGAGAGAGAGAGAGAGAGAGAGAGAGAGAGAGAGAGAGAGAGAGAGAGAGAGAGAGAGAGAGAGAGAGAGTGAAAGGGAGATAATTATGAGATAAAGAAGGGTTAATTGCAGATCAGCGGTACATGGGTGAGCGTAGAAGCAAGAAGGGAACGTAAGATTGTAAAGAGAGATAGGGAGATAAAAGATTAACTTTGAGGGAGGGTCGTATCTTTGCGATCTGGGGGTAGATTTATTTATTTTTTTTTTCTAACTCTCTTCGTTTTTTTTTTTTTTTTTTTTTTTTTTTTTTTTTTTTTTTTTTTGATCCAATCTTCGAAATGGAAATGGATAAATTGACATGCCAGGAATCTAATTTATATTTTTACCCTCTTTTTTATGTCGAGTCGTTATCATCTTCTTCGTGTTTATCATTAACGCCAACTACCGTGTCTTCTGTATATATATATTTTTTTTTTCCAACCCTTTTATCTTTTTTTCTGATGCTAATCTATTATTGTGTGCCCTGCCAATCGCATTCTTCTCTCATCTCTCTTTCTCTCTCTCTCTCTCTCTCTCTCTCTCTCTCTCTCTCTCTCTCTCTCTCTCTCTCTCTCTCTCTCTCTCTCTCTCTCTCTCTCTCTCTCTCTCTCTCTCTCTCCTCCTCTCCCCTCCCTCCCTCCTCCCTCCCTCCCTCCCTCCCTCCCTCCTCCCTCTCTCCCTCTCTCTCTCTCCCTCTCTCCCTCTCTCTCCTCTCTCCCTCTCCAACCCCTCCTACCTCCCACCACTCCCCCCCTAAAAACCCTTCTCCCCCCCATTATCACCCCCAACCATCCCATCTACCCCCCCATTTCCCCGCCTTTCCATCTACCCCCTTCCCCCTCCCCCTCCTAATACATCACTAACCCGATCTCCCTTTTGACTCTTCTCTCCTCGCATCTCCATAACACTCGTAGTTCTCATACATTTATTTATCCGCTCCACCCCCACCCCCTTCTTCCTCCTCTTTCGCCTCTCACCCACCTCCTCTCCCTTCCCTATCGCCCATGCACCTCTTCTTACCCTCTCCCCCTCTCCTCCTCTTACCCTCTCTCCCTCTCCTCCTCCTTGCCTTTCCCACCTCTCCTCCTTCTCTTCTCCTCCACCTCCACTTCCTTCCCCTCCTCTCCACCTCCTCCTCCTCCCCACCCCCTCTACTCCTTCTCCCTTCCCCTCCTTCCCCTCTCCCCCCTGCTCTCTTCACCCTCTCCCCCCCCCCGTCTCCTCCCCCTACCCACCCCCATGCCATCCCGCCACTCCCTTCCCCGTGGTTGCTGGAGGGAAGAAGGAGAAGGGGAGAAGGGTGGACAAAAGGAAGAGAGGGAGAGGAGGAGGGAAGAGGGGAAAAAATGTAAAAAAGAAATAGTTGGAAGGGTAAAGGGGGAAGAACAGTAATGGAAGGACGTTAACGAGAGAGAGAGAGAGAGAGAGAGAGAGAGAGAGAGAGAGAGAGAGAGAGAGAGAGAGAGAGAGAGAAGAGACAAACAGACAGACAAACAACAACAAGAGAAAAGACAGAAAGAAAAGAAAGATAGGTAGGTAGAGAGAGAAAGAAGAAATGGAGGTTCGGGCATCGCGGAGGGAGAGGTTGGGGTGTGGGGTGGGGGGGGGGGGGGGGGTGCGAGGGTAAGGTAGTCGGTATCATAATTTAGACCATCGTGACCAGCGTTAAGGCGGGGCTACCGTTCTGGCCTGCTCCCGGGCTACCTCGCACATACCAAAAATAAACGCTAAACTCGACCTCGCTGACGAACGCAAATACACCGCTCACTTCACGCACTTTGCACAGTCTTCGCATTGCATAGTCTACTACTCGCGTCAACGTACTTTGCATGTATATTTGTATAGATTATTTTCTTTCTTTCTTTTTCTTTTTTCTAATCTTTTTTTTTCTTTTTTTCTTCTTTTTTTTCTTTTTTTTTCTTTTTCTTTTCTTTTCTCATGTGTTCTCATTCCACATAATACATAGCACACGCATAGTCTACAAATAAACCCTTTTTTCTCTATTTTCCTCTAATTTCACACGCAGAGTCTACAAATAAACCCCTTTTTCTCGCATTTTCCTCAAACTTCACACGCACAGTCTACACATGAACTTTTTTTCTGGATTTTCTTCTAACTTCACGTCTGCACTGTGCACTTAG